CTCACAGGTTGCAGGCAGTTTAAATGGGGATGAATTTTGCCTTCCGATTAGCTGCCAAGTTCAGGCCATTTGCCATGCTCACCAATGACCCGCGCTCCCGCAGATGCATTTTGCTCTCACAAGGACTCAGCAAAGAGCATACACACAGCTTGGGGTTTTTTAACAGCAAGGCCTCGCTCCTTGTGCCCTGCCATCGCTCTCCATGCTCTGTTGCCATCAGCTCACGCCCTTGCCCCCTCCCAGACCCCCAGTCTCACTGGGCATCGGGGGGGCAAAATTTTGGCTGGGATGAGCAGTTGTGTACACAAACCCTCAGAGCCCCTGGCTGTCCCACGGGCATCGGCAAGGGCAGCCACCCCATGGCACAGGTGAGCTGAGCATGACGACGGGACATGTCTTGGCTTAAACAGTCAATGTTCTCCTCCAATATTTGGTTCTAATACGCTCCCCAGATCTCACACATGGCCTCTCATTGTGTCGCTCACGCCGTGTTTGTACAGTAATGAATTCTGACTGCAGTGACTCCATCAGCCTTGGGGATCGCTGCATATGTGCCTGCGCTCGTGATGTGATTTTTGGAGGATGCCTGAATGAAGCAGCGATGTTTGCTGTGTGATTTCAAATTGAATCTTGATGACAAATTGATTATTGTTGAAACAGAAGGAGAGTGGTGAGCACAGCCATGCACAGCCCCCCCTCATTCAGCCTCATCCATGGGCGAGGGGCTCCGGGAGGCTCCGAGCGGCTGTGCGGTGGCTGGAGGAGCCGGAGCACACCGAGCGCTTGCCAGCCGGGCGCTGAGCCTTGGCCCTCTTCTTGCCAGAAGCAGAAAAACTAAAGGTTGTAATTTGGCAAGGGCAATCTGAAATCCCTTCCCTTGGGGGGGCATGTCTGCTCTGATCACGGCACACCCGTAATTCCCATCAGCGTTCATCTGCTGCCTGCGCTTGCAGCAAGGCTGAACTGTGCTGTGCAACGTGCATCAAATGAAATCCAGCTACTTTCTGAGCACACACAGGTTGCTGTCGCACAAAGGCAAACATAAATCAGGCTCTGTCCTCATCCAGCTCGCAGCCACATCCAGCCTGCTCCACCGGGAGCGGGGCTTGCCAGGAGGGAGGTCACACTGTGCTGGGTGGGTATTGGCAAGGCGGGGGGGGGAGCACGCGTTGCCCACCCCTCGCTTCCCCCTTTACCCGCTGTCTGAGGCCGTTGGCATTTCCAGGTCAAAACTTCACCTACTTCCCCCTCCAAGTCCCCCATGAAATCCTCCTGCCCTCCAAGCAGAGCAAGGTTGGAGCTCGTGTTTGCGGTTTCTCTGCAGAGCCTCCCGGGCAAACCTGGGACAGCTTTTAAAGCAGCGTGGCTCAAGCAACCTAAATCCATCGCCTCCTGCTTCAAACCACTTTTAATATATATTTATCTGTGAGATGCTCGCCAGCGCAATTAAGTCAACGTTCATTAGCTTCATCTGGAGGTTTTCTCATGTACAGCAGCCTGAAAGAGCTTGGGCCGCGGTGCGTAAACCCTGTTTTCACTTACTGACCCCATGGCAGCAGCTGCAATTGGCATTTTGGGGTAATTCAAGCTGGTCCACCTGAGTTATCACAGAGTGCCCACGGAGGCTTTTAGACTGATTTTAACCCTCTCGATACCGGGGTATCTCAAACGCCTGGTGGTCGATGCCCTCCCTCAAGGCTGCCCACCCATGAGCAGCTCCACTGCTCCCAGCAGCTTGAAGTCTGGTGCTCATCTGAACGCCTGACCCTGACTGATGGGGCTCCTCCACCCGTGTCACCCGCAGGGCTCAGCCACCCCGGCCCCTGGGGCAGAGCACCCGTCCCCTCCTTTCCTTCTGGCCCGGTTTGGTGCATTCAACAGCTCCAGCAGAGCCTGTGCGTGCGTGTGTGCATGCCTGAGTGTGCGCACGCAGTGGGATGCTCATGTCCGCTTTGCAATACTTCCACCTACAGAATAAAACCCAGAACGGCAGCGGGAGCAGGCAGCAGCAGCCCTGGGAGCCGATGGGTGCACAGCAGCCCAGGGGGGCCCAGCTGAGTGTGGGGAGGGGGGGGCGGCCTGCTTTGGGGGACTGGGGCAAACCAGAGGATGTCTGCAGAAGTGCTCATGAGCCCCTTGTCCTCTCCAGCAAACCTCTGAAGAAGGATTCTCATTCCTGGGACAAGAATGGTAACTTTTGCAATTTTTTTCCCTTCCACTGGAATATAAAGACTTTATTTTTCAGGCCACCTTTTCTAATTTTAACCTCTTTTTTTTTAATTGTTTTTCAAAATGCCTCACTGGTCTGTGGCCAGGCAGGAGACGGGAATGAAAAGCTGTTTCCTTTACCGAAGGGTTTTTTTCCTCAGCGGGGTGTAATCACCAGTGCTGCGCTGCAACAACACCCAAGCGCTGCACGGGCACACGCCGGCCCCGCTGCAGAGGGGAGCGTGGGGCACAAGGTGGCTGCAGCAGGTTTGGTTCCTGCCCCACACAACCTGCAAGCAACAAGCTTGTGCTTTGGAGTGGGGAGAGCAACAAGGAGCACAGGCAGGAGAGCTATGGACTTGGGGGCTCGCAAGTGGGGCTGATGTGAAATGATGGATTTCATGAATATTTCCTGGCAGGAGCAGTGGCTGGGGTAAGATTTCCCAGAAAAGGGATCCTTATTGCTGTCATTAACAGCAGCGTGCAAGGCATGCTCTGCAGCGCCCGCTGCCACTAACCTGTGGGTTTTGGGGGTGGCTAGCGCCCTGATGAATAGTTGTTGGGAGAATTTCCACCAAGAATATTCTTAGATTGTTCACTTTTCTTCCCCAAACCATCCAAAGCTTTTGGCCCACATACATCCTTCCAACATTGGTAACAAAGCTGAAAGTGAAGGACAGTTTGAACTCACTCGCTTGAAATACTTGCATCGCTTTGTTGAAAAATTAGTGAAAACATTTTAAGAAAAATCCTTTTTCTAAGGAAAAGCAATTCTGCAGGCAAGACCAACCCAGCCAAACCCCTTTGCCCAAGGAGGAGTGGTTGGCTGGAACATTTCCCACCAGTTCCTGGGGGTTCTCTCTAGGGGTCTCAGGCCTCCAAAGCTCAGTGGGGCACCTTATTTCCATCACAGAATTTCTAACAGTGGCTGCAGCATCAGGCAATGCAGGAATACTCCGTATTTCCCAGGAAACTGTCCCCTTGCAGCACACTGCAGTGGGGGCAGGCGCCGCGGGTGCCACGCTCAGTCCCAGACGCTGGCAGGGGTCACCACCAGCTCCTACCTGCCAAGCTCCTCTTTGTTTACTGACAGAGCTCCCGTGGTCTCCTTTCACTTTGGGTTGCAGATCAGACCGGGCAGCTCAGAGCTTTCACAGCCGCTTGCTGTCAGAGTGATTTTTTTTTTCCGGATGCGTCCAAGCCACGGGGCTGTGGCTCAGGGTGGTCCGTAGCTCCTGTTCCTGCTTCGCCCCGGCTGCCATCTGCCACTTCGCCAGGACAGCGTCCGCTCTGTCAGCGCTAAGCAAACATTTGCCTGTGGCCATCTGGGTTCGATGGTGCAGCCTGAGCAACCTTCCTGCCTGCTGGCAGCAGAAGCAGGCTGTGCCCTGGAGACAGGCATCGCTGAAAGTACTGGGAATATCTTTCACTATGCTTCATCTGCACGCTCCATCACTGGCTTCTTTGGCATCCTGGTACCTCCATCTGCACTGGGGAGGGAACAAGCATGGTAAAGCAAGCATAAAGGGATGGGGCAGAGGGACACGGGTGCTGTAGTGTGGTACAGCCCGAGCCAGGGAAGCCATTGCAGTCCCACCAGCACCTGGGCTCTTGGTTAGAAATAAGGTTGCAATGGGGCATTACAGAGTCTGTTTTTACCATAAAAGCCTCTCCACTCTGAGGGCAAATGTTTGAACATGCTCTCACTCTGCCACTGTGTCACATACCGCTGTGCAGAGCAAAGCCCGTACAGAAGACGATGAGCTCGGGCCGAAACAAAAGCTCTGCGTGGAGCACTCAACCCCCCGTCTCGTTTCTCAAACACATCTGTGCTATTTCCACTGCCCAGCGTGGCTGCCTGGGTCCGTAGCGAAGGCAGAGCTGCAGGCTCTGGGCAGGAGTTGCAGCGAGGCACTGCTGCCTTGGACACTTCCACGTTCAGATGTCAATAGCAGGTCATCAAAGCCACCGCAGCCTTCAGAGCTAAGTTTCAGCTGATGAAGGGTTCCCATAAGTGACTCAAGCACATGGAAGACACCACAGAATTTAAAAATAACAAGCATTAAAGAAAATTACTTCTCAACTACTGAGATATGTCAGTGTAGCCTCAAGTCAGCCTCAAGTGACTCCTGGAGGTCAATACAGATGCTTGAAGGTCAAACAGCGCTTTCAAAGTGTTCAGTTTTGTGATTTAATGAACACATAAGGACACTTCAAAGTCTTGGGAGAGACATTATGAGATCTAGTTGTAAAAATAATCACCTCCCTTAAAATAGGCTTTGGCTGATGCTTCACAGTTACCGTGCTGGATCTAGCGCTGGCGTGTGACAGCAGAGCAAGGCCCCAACGCCAATCCATTCCCACGCGTCACCCAGTTCCGCAGCTGGTCACATTGCCTCCCCGCACGACCGCTGCGAGCGAGCTGGCACGTTCACTTTGTCACTGCTTTTGTCCCCTGCTGTAACCGAACGCACAGGTAACGGGACGTTAACAGGGCTACAGCCACTCGGGACTGCTACCTGCTTTCGGGCTGCTCCGCTGGTGACCACACACCAGCACCAGAGGGGACCCAGCCCGTGAAACGCACGACTTGCTCCCCGGGTTGTGCTTCTTGGCACTCAGACCCCCAGCACGCCTTCTCTTCTTTACAGCACCGGCCCGACTTACCTGCGGCTTCGAGAAAGATCTGCTGCTGCCCTTTCAGTAACCAAACCCATTTATCTCATGGCCCGTCAGCTGGCAAAGACGTGGCGCGGCTGAGGCCACCACTCACACAGCTGGCCGAAGGCATCTTCTTTTCCCGTGGAAGAGCGAACGCTGAACTTCTTGCTAGCTGACTGCAAGCTCAGGGCGTAAGCAATCTGCAGCAGATGGCATCTAGACATTGAGCATCGCCAGATGTTCCAGCTTTACACGGAAGTTAACTTCTGCTCTTCAGCTCTGGAGCGAGGGGCGCTGGAAGCACAGAAGGGTAATTAGTGCTTATGCATAAACACAAATAGAGAGGCTGAGCCCTCTTCACGTTTCATTCCAATACACTAACTCTGACGTTCAACAGAGCTTGAGCCCATTGTGCCTCTACTTCAACACTGGGGTTTTATTGCTACCCTAGACTATCTAAATATTCATTTCTAGGGAAAAAAGCTACCTTAGTTTCCATAGCAACAAATACTTTTTCCTGAAAGCAACAAACACATGAAATACAGTTACTGGACATTAAAAAAACCAGAGAGGTAACCAAGAAACTGAGTACAACATTGATCTTTTCCCCCTTCTCAAAAGCAGCACGCTCACTTTCTGTAGTTCTAGAGAACAGATGCAGATCGGGCCCGGCAGGATGCTGGGCAGCTGCTTACGAGAACGCACCAGTTCCAGTGAAGCTTTTGCTCAACCACATTTTTTTTTTCTTTCCCTTTCGAGGTCTGCAGAATTTGTGGCCAGAGACTGACGCTTGCTGCTGCAGCAGCGGACACCAGCCACGTTTCAGCTCTGCTCACTGCCACGCTGCAGCCTCAGGCAGAGCAAAGTTGTGCAAAGCGTTTCAGGAGAGCACAGGTCTGCAGTGGCAGTCTACGCGCCCCAAGGGACAGCAGGACAACGAGCACCTCCTACCCAAGCAGCAACCAAATCAAACCCAATTCCCCCGCACTCATGTCACCGCTCCTCTACCCACCACCCCACCCACAGCCATCCCACACCAGCATACAGCTTCTGGGTGTGCAGTGGTGCTGGGTGGACACGAAGCCATCACCCCAGCACACGGGAGAGCTTCCCACAGCAAACCCAGCTGTACTTCACACCACAGCACACCTGGTGGGCTCAGGAGCCTCCCCCAGCTGAGTCACTGGGACCCTCAAGTCCAGAGCAGCAGCACAGCAGTGGTGGCGGGGGCAGCTCTACCTGCAGAGGCACCCCAAGGAGCTCAGCCAAAAGCTGCACAAGCACCACACAGCAGGATCCTTCCACTGCCATCATCCCGCCACCCCTAATGAAAGAAGGGAAATAAAAAATCCCCCAACTTGATCCCTCATTGGCTTCTGCCAGCAGCAGCTGCAGAGGGAAGTCCCCACCACCCCCGGGGCAGCTGACAGGGACACTGGGACAGGAGCAGCCCAGCCCTGGCTTGCAAAGTGCAGCTCTGTCACCTTCAGCAGCTGCTTGTCCCACTGATGGTGACAGAGCCCTCCGTGCTTGTGTATTCCCACTGCGGGGAAGTTCCTGCTGTTCCAGAAGTGGGCCTGGCCTCCCCGTGCCTCCCCACAGAAGGACACCAACTTCTGAATCTTTTCGAGTCTTTCATTTGCAATACCAGCACATCAAGATCCCACACGCCCCACTAATCTGCAGTGGTCAAAGTGACAGCATTTAAAGAAAGTTTAGATTTAGTTTCAATGTATTTGACATCGAACAGGCAGTAAAAAAAAAAGCTTTATATTTTATTTCTTGTAAAAATCTTTGAACACATGCAGACTAAAACCAGTGTAAGAAAGTATCCACCATCGTTTAAACAAATAACTATACTTAAATATAAGTGTCTGCAATTGACTTGTATAAAAATAAGGTACGTTTTGCTTTTTTTACAGAAATCCATTCTCCAGTTCTCATAGCAATAAACAATACACAACTCTAATACATACAATTTAACCTGATCGCTGTTTCCCATCAGTCTGATACTGCTAAGGTATTATGTGCAAAAGTTGGTAACGGTTTCTTTCCCAAAAGAAAAATCTTCTACATATTTTAGAAAAATCAGGTATCGGGTTTAAATTAATCAAATCCTAATCGGTTCCTTTGTTCTCAGATAGAGTCCATTTACTGTATTATATACAGGCTTAACTAAAATCCAGTGCAGGGGCAAACCTCAGCGCCTGTGCCTGCTGTGTCCTGAGCGGCCGCTGCCGTGGTGTTTGCCTTTGTGAGATCTCTCGAAGGAGCGGGACCTCTCGCGCCGCTCTCTGTGGTGTCCCCGCTCGTGCCTGTGCTTCTTGGCAGCATCCGAATGATCCCTGGATTTGCTCTGTGAACGCGAACGAGATTTTTTCCTTTTGTGACCGTGTCTATTTGCACCCTTCAACTCTTCCCTGCTATGCTTGGTCTTCAGGTGTGGCGAGCCGTGATTGTGGTGGCGGCGAGGGCTGCCACTGTGGCTGCGGGACCTGCTTCGTGATCTTGAGCTGTATGTCCCAGACAGGCTCCGCCTATTATTGTAGCTTACAGAAAAAGCATTAAGAAGTTAAAACATGGTCTTCCATACATAAGAAAACAAACAAACAAAAAAATCAATGCTTAGGAACTTCCAAGTCACTGGAAGAAACCAGAGACTGTTTCTCCCACAGGGATAACTGACGAATGATAGTGACCATCCCAGAACACGCTTTTAAGTCACTTTGAAAACAAAAAGCCCAAACTAAACCCAAACCCAGCACCTTTCATAATTGCTCAACCTTGTCAATCTTTCCTCAACACTAGACTAAAAATATTTTATAGCCTTTTTTCCTTCCTCAACACTAGACTAAAAATGTTATAGCTTTTTTTTCCTTCAATGATTTGACGATCAACAATACTGAGGGGAACACTTCATTGAGATCCAAATTAGCAGTTTCCAACTTGGATGTCAGTCTGAAGATTCTTTAAAAACACATACGGAATGCCAGCAGCTATCCCTGCATCGCTGTGCACAGTTCCCCCTCCTGCCTGGCCACAGAAGAGGCAGAGTACTGAAGAGCCAGCCAGCGCATCACGCAACACCAGCGGAAGACACATGTGACTGGAAGAAAGGTGCAACACATGAAGCTGGCTCCTCTGGCACTTCTCACTACTTCCAAGTGGACGGAGTTCCAAGAGACTGCTCTCGTTTATAACTGATTCCTTGTCAAGATCATCAAACAGGGCAAGACTACCTTACTCTCACTCCATCACCAACTTCCATTTTATAGCAAAGCTTTTACAGCTTGAACTATTAACGGCACAGTTACCAACTTCATGTCAAGAACCGAGAGCCCAAAGCCAGACTCAAGTCTCATACTTCTGCTGGCCAGAAGATAGAAGCTTGTGCCAAGCACCTACATGCCACTCAGAGTGGCCCTAGCTCTTTAGAAGTGAAGAGCCCCGCTGAAATATCCCAGAGTGTTAATTATAACAACAACAACAAAAAAAAAAAGACACCTCCAAAAAGCCCTGCCCCCTCCCCAACCCCCCCCAAAAGTCCCCTACTTACTGCCGCCTAGGAGTGTGAGATCGAGACCTTGACTTTGTTCTTGACCTAGATCGACTAGCGCTTCTGCTGCTTCTACTTCTCTTGCTTTCTTTTCTCATGCTTGGGAGGGGGGGAAAAACAGGGTTACACTTCCAAGGTAGTTGTTACTTCCATGAAGTAGCTCAAAAGTAGTTCACTGTACTTCAGCTGAAGAAACCGTGTTTGCAGAAGTATTCTCTTCATGAGGAAGAGATTTTTACCTACCCATTGTAAGGGCTCTTTGAAGCTTGCTGCCTCTCTTCTGGCTCTTTTTTAATGGTTTTGGTATTCAGAGATACTGGAGTCTTCTCTTCCGTTTTTACTTCTCTCGGGGAAGCTAAGAATTAAATTTAAATTAAAAATTAGGCATTTTATTCATAGACTTTATTATAAATATATTGTATCCTTTATGCACCTTCACCAGTATTTGCACAAGATGTAAATATGAACTCAATAGCTACTATTTCATTGCATCTTTCTATTTATAATGCACTCCTAGAAGGGAACACCGGAGTGAGATGCCCATGGGGAGATGCACAGAAGTTTAAAGCCAGCTGCCAGCAGTGGGGGGGAAAGAATACTGTGACCTTCCAAGTGCAGAAGCCAGGTTCATCTGAGTTTTCATCCACCGGGACCCCAAGTGGTACAAAAGAAAAGCTGCCCTTATGGCCCACAAATACATAACTTTAATTGTTACCTTGACAGTTAATTTCCAATACTATAGAAAGAATTAAGACCGAATAGCAAAATTACAGATTTTATTTTTGTATTAGTGGTACAAATACAATGAATAACAAAAAGCTTAATTTAGGAAAAAAAAAAAATCTGTCTCTACAGTCAGCTGATATATAGCCCAGGGATGGATTCATCATCTTTTCATGGAAGGGCTACTATGCAATAACAATGCATTTATGCCTGGCCTGCTGACAGCAAGGCAGAGGTGCTGCACTATGACTTACAGTGCAGCTTCCTAACTCAATAGGGTTCAGGGGTTTAATGTAAAAATAGAGAAAGGCAGAATTCTGTCAGCTTTCCCTCAGTTTGTCAGCTAGTAAGAAGCCTTCCAAAACCCCAGCAGAGGTCCTGCTTTCACTCAAACTCTTCTAACCTCAGCTCCCATGTCACAGAAACACGACACTTTCATTGCTCAGTGACAAATGGACACTTGCCAGCTCAACGACCTCTGGAAACTCAGATGTATTGTTCTTAAGGAGAAATAACTGCCACAAATATTGCTTTCCCAGAATACGTTCTTGAGTCCTGAAGAGGCCAAGTAACAAACAAGGGCCTCTGCCTTCTACTTTACCCACCATCACCGGACCAATGCTCGTGACAGCCTTTACATTTTGCTGGCAGTTTACAGATCAATAGCAGCATTAAGAGGTAAAAGCACTGAGACAAAACTGCCTGTTCTTTGTATCATTAGAGTTAAGACAGATTTATTGGCCGGCTTGAGATATGCATTACAACAATTTATTCACTTCAATGCCAAGACAGCACTGCAACCTTCCCTTCTTCCACTTCCTGACCACAAGCTGTCTTCCTTCACTGCACTCGAACGGTTGCCACGTATATTAAAGAGAAGCAGAGAAAGCAATTTTTAGATACCTGCTGCAAAAGGAACCATGAAACCTATTGCAACTGCCCCTTCCCCCCCCCCAGATGAAATCCAGAGTCTCTCTTCACAACACATTATTATGCAGCAAACTCCTGGGTCTAGACATTTTTATGTCTAGACATTCTAGACATAGAATAATTATCTCAGGGATGCACATTATTAATATATCACTTTCCCATCTGTGGAAGTATGGAGCAAGGCATCCCATTTCCCTCTAATCTGCTATTTCAAGGTATTGAAACTTGTTTTTTTTAAAAAAAGAAAAATTTGTTTTGCTGCTTAGTTCTGTGAGAAAACCTAAGTTATCTAACAGCTCAAGAAGCAAATCTACTTTTTTTTTTTAACACCTTGGGACACAGATTTCAAGGAGTTATCAAATAGTATTGTGCAAATTTCTGTTCAGAAAACAAACTTACATGGTTTGGATGCAGGAGAAAAGCCACCCAGTGTTGAGAGTGCTGGAGTTCCATCTGGGTTTAAACCTTTTGCCTTCAGTTTAGCTTCCTGTAGTGCCATTTTCCTTTTTTCTACTTCTTTATCCAGGAATTCATAATTGGGCTGTTAAAGTAGCAAAGTGGTAAGAAGCTGAACTAATGCAATTTATATTTTCATCTCATTTCTGAAAAACACTCAATTATCCTTTAATCATCTATCCAGTAATGTGACTAACTTCCATAATTTGTTCTCACACTCCCCTTAGAGTAGCCGCCACACAGCAGAGCTGTTCCAATTAGATTTGTATGCAGGTGTTCCCAAACACACTTAAGACAACCATGAGACAGTTCAAGCTGCACTGAATAAGAAAACCAAACACCTCAACGTTACCTTCTTTCTGGTATAGAGCTTAAGAGTTGTTAAGCAAATCTCCTGAATCTCCTCTTCTGTGGTGCCAAAAAGCAAGAACCAGTGAGGACGGGTAGGTAGTGGAATCTGAAAATAAAAACAACAAAAAACTTAATAGATATTACAGACCAGACTTTTGTTTTAAATATTTTCATTAAATTCCTTGAAACCAAATTACTAACAATAAAAGGCAATGCTAACTAAAGACAGACAAATACTCACCTGCAGAGCTCTAGCAGCAAGATAAATGCAAGCACACGCTATGGTCTCTGGCTGAAAGCGAACAAACACATTTGTCCGAAGGCTGTCATTCATGTAATTCCTGAAGAAAAAAAAAAAAAAAAAGTTGGGTATCAGGTTTACATCTTTTTACTTAGAGGACAACAATACTGGAGACTCAATTGACTTTATTATTTTTTCTATTACATTAAACATTTGGTTTCTTTAGAATTATTGTATTTGACATTTACATTTGTTACTTCCGTAACAAAGTTTGCACCATTGCCATTGTTTTAAAACCCCAATGCAAGTAATAGTATGTAATGGCTATGTCCTAGGTAGGTATGTTAAGTTACACCATGAAGCGTCCATTGAGTTAACAATCTAACAAATACTTTTTATCTGTCCAGCTGTTTTTGCTTTAAACACCAATGTTCTCGTATTTAAAAATCAATATGCTTAGAACTCAAATGCAAGCATGAAAGCATGGTATAGTTTTAACCTACCATTTTCCAGGGGCTAGATGCAACCTATAAAGTTCATAAAACATTGCATTTAAATCCTATGTGTGCCTTGAGTCACATTAACTTCATCCAGAGAGAGAAGCATCCAATTTGCTCACTGAGCGTTGGAAAAAGACCTGCAAGTTAGTAATGGGTCTCCCACTTCACTAAGCTATGGTTCTTCCACCAGGGTGGCACTGCCAAGCAATACATGCCAAGAGATACATTTAAACAGCAGATACCTCCATCGATTTCTAAGTTACTGAGCTACAGGAAAGAAACGAACAGCAGTCAGTAAGTATTGACTCCATAGAAAACCACGCCCAATATGGCTTCTAAGTGAACATGCTGCATGCACTGTAATTTTTTTTTTTTAAAACTCAAGTTTAGCCAAATGCTACATCAACTAAATAAATGTTGGCAGAAAGTCTACCCCATGTGTCCTTTAAACAGTATACAGTAGCTAGGCAACAAATACATTTAGAAACATTTTTAACAGTTACTTCTAAAAGCAAATATACAAATCCTTTCGACACCCAGACAGAACTAGAAGATGCTGCCCGATGGATATGGACCACTTCAGTGAATCTCGGATGAGAGCTTGCACTGGGTTGGCTGGAGAGAAGGGCAGCCAAACAGGCCATCCCCAGGTCATGGGCTGAGGTGCAGAGGGCAGAGTTCTATGACTTACCATCATGGACTACCCTTTAATTAAAGAGTAGAAAAAAGAACAAAGTTAAATTGAGTTCTCCATTACTGTAGTGCAATCAAGCCATGAAAATAGTAAGCAGAAACAAGCACTAAAATATTTTGAAAGTATGTATTTGTGTAATAACTTACATCTCATTGCTTTGCATATGGATCATCAGGCTTGTTATTTCTGCTACTATTTTCCTGGCTAGGAAAAGAATGGAAAATAACAACTTACCAGGCTGTCTGTACCAGGGTTTGATTACGTTCACATTCTAAGACTTGTAAATACATAACAATGATCTGAGGAATAAGGAAAAAAAAAAACACACCTCAGTTTTAACACATAAAGCAACAGAAGTAACTATGTATAGCCAAACAGTATTCCGAAACAATGGTGCCTCCTCCTTTTCTAAGCATACATTGTAAGCTCACATGTCATCCAATCATGTGCAATTATTCTACTACTTTTCTATGATTTTCAAAACCAGTCACCTTTAACATTTCCCAAGGAAGCAATTCCTACCAAAGTCAGTATGACTATTTGCCCAAGCACTCTGGCAAAAGCACTCACGATACAACTACCAAGGAATAAAGAGAAGAAATCAGGTCATTTTTACACCTGTGTTTCTTGTCCCACAGCTCACAATGATGCCATCAAGATGGAATAATATTTACAATTATATTACTCTTGATAACTCACCTTATGTGGATGCTTGACATGAACACAAAATCCCAACTCCTTCAGTACCCTCCTTTCTGCTTTGATTACTTGATTTTTGGTGTTTATGTAGTTCTGATCAAGTATCAGGGGGCTTGGAGTCCTATAGTTTGCAAGAAATAAAATCAAAACTGTTTTGCATATCCAAAAATAGCGGCAATCTCTGTTTTCCCTTCCAACCAACTAATGGCAACAGAAACCGGTTTTCAACTCCTGCAAGCAAGTTTAAGCATTAATCTTGTGCTGTCCAAGTTTAGATAAACTAGTTTAGTTTCTGCTTTTGACTAGCTACAGATTAGATGGCCAAGAAAAAAAATCTTTTGCTGCTGTGTATGCAAACTACACTGGTCCAGCTGCTGGAACGAAAGTCAGTTTTACAGTGAAGATCTCAAAGAACCTTTACGCTTCACGACAGAGGTGGGGGAAGGAGTGTGATACAACTACCTTTATTAGGTAGGACTTCAAACCTAAGTAAGCTAGAACAGGGTTTTTTTACTGATATTAAAGTAGCAAGCTTGTGCTTTATAAACTGGTTTCCTATGCACTGAAAGACAAAATTATTCAGATCTTCAGAAAACAAGACAGCCCTGCTACTGTGATTTATGAAAAGCCTAGTAAAGCAAAGAATGTAACCTCTGAAATTGTGACAGATCTGCCTGTAATTCTGAACACTGCACCCACTGATCAGTGGTTACCACATCACTTCTGCTATTTGCAAACCAAGAGCTCATTTCATAAAGATGCCCAAGTCTAGCACTGTCAGGTCCTAATTCCTTTGAAATCCAACACCTGAACTCTCCAAAGCATTTTAAATTTTAACTAAAATACCTTGCTGTATGCTTTATGCATAAGCATCATACTCCATTTTGTATTCTTTTTTGTCTGTGCTTAGACTTGACCTTTCAACATTCCAGTGTGTATTTTAATCCACTTCCTCCTAAAGACAGACCAGCTTTTTCCCTGTTTGTAATACGCCTCACATATTCCACCCGCTTACCAACACAGAAGAATGGGTTTGCAACTAGTTACACTCATAATAAACCACTGTCTGCTTACATGATAAACCTAGCACACCCCAAGCACTAGTGACAAATTTATTTTAATTACCTTCAAAAGAAAAAAGAAGTAACACAAAGTGGATTCAAAACACAGCTTCTGTTTTATCAGACAAAATATTTCACCACCAGCTTGTCTTTTTCAATTACATGCAAGCTGCGCAAGTGGATCATGCTTCTCTTCCCTGATAGATCACAGAAGAGAAAACACACTCAAAAACCCTAGGTTCCCACCCCAAGAAGAAAGGGTCAATTTAATTACAAGGCTAGCTGAAGGGCTTCCCAACTTCAGTGATCCACAATTTATGCCAAGACTTCTGCAGTCACCTGGAAGGATGCGTATCACCAGTGGTCAAAGGATACAACAAGCCATCCACTTCACCAAGAAAAGCATCACATTGTATAACCATACACATGAAGTGTGAGCTCCCCCTGCTCTTCCTATGGGGCTGAGAAGCAGCTCCCAGAAGGTTTGACATGAACTACTGCAGCTTCTGTCTCCTAAAAAAAAAAAATGCAATGTTTTCCATGTTACATAAAAGTAACTTCTCTGGTTAAGGGCTAGTCTCGCTCATCAGGGGCACATTTACAAAGTCTGTGATTTCAGCTACTCTAAATATAACCCAGTCAGTAATCCAGTCAGAATACGGGATTTTATTTTTTTTCCCCATAAATTAACTAGAAAAGAAAAACATCTAAAGCTTCTTTAAGTTAACTACTTCAGTAGAGAGGTTATGATTTTATCTGAACACTGAAACACTACAAAGACTGTCTGAACACAGTGCTCTGTAGTGCGACACTGGAAGAACCAAGCTGCAGTTCTTCCAATCAGTGAAACTGATTCACTTCCCAGCTAAACTTGGATTTATAATAATAACATTTCTTCCAATACCACTTTACACAATTTATCTAGAGATCACTGACATTAACAGGATCTGCAAGGCATCATTCAGAGTGCGTTTAGGTGTCCAGGCTCAGCTTATCTTGTTAGCAGAACACTTCAGAGGTGACAAATCTTGGATGAAACCGTTAGGGCAGCTATGACTTCCAGTCTAAAAAATATAAAATCAACAGCGGGACAACACGACTGCATGGGATCATGCAACAACCTGCCATAGGATTACTATCTTCCAGGTGTCTTTTGCTTTCTCCAAAAACTACATAAGGAAGTCAGTTTAATGAAAACACAGTAAGGTAGCCAGAAGTGCAACAGGACAGACTGTGAGCCTTACTACATTTTAAGTTTTCACTGTCCTTCTGCAGGGCCATAGGATCAGCACAAACAGTTGATACTTTGGTTGTACATGTTCAACAGCAAAGCAACAGGAAACTCAACACGAAGGCACTCGGAAGTGTGCTTTTCTCTGTTGTCCCACATTACTCCGATCACTTACAACAACACAAGTTCTAGAGATCTACAGGTCTAAGGAAGCCATGAAAAACATCAGTTTATCCAGACAGTATTTCCAGAAATAGAAAGACAAATGCAGCCTTTTATCCACTTAGGCAAAAATAAAAATCTGCAGAAGACTTTACCACACCTTATTACTGGCAAAAGTCAGGTTCCCCGCTGTATTAAGATTTACCAATTCAGTACTTTTGCCATAAACTCTGAAGTATTGGTATGCATAATTACTCAGAAGTTGGAACCTTCAGAGATTTCCCTTTGTAAAGCTTTAGATTTCCTACTGAGAAAAGAAAAAAAAGAGGAACTTTGCTACTGCGTTTGCTGCGCTTAGTTCTCAGTCCAAGAAGTAATCATTGTAGGTCCAAGTAACAAACTAGAGAAAAGTAGTTTATGAGCTTATATATAAAATATAAGCTTCAAGCCCTATACAGCCAAGTAGTATTACAAATTCTTACTTTGAATCTGTTCTTACAGATCAGCACCAGAGCTCCAGGCAAAACTTTAGATTTAAGAACAGAGAGCATACAGTGCCCATTCTGGTAACTCACTCCAACATTCAGTCACAAAACTTCATCAGGATTTAGAGACTGCGTAACAACCCAAAAGATTAACACATGCTGTAATGTGTTTGTAACAATAAATTAATTACAAGTATCCTTTTTTCAAATCCCTCTGACAAATGAAACCTAAGTTCTTGACACAGCTCCAGCTCCATTTGATGCAATATTAAAGTCTGATATCTTTGGAATGTCTAATACTTTGCAGGAAGAGTGCCCTGCATGTAGATTTGTTCATAATGAAAAAAGTACTTCTGAAAAGTACAGCATAATGTCAGCATCTTGTTTCAAAGACCAGATCTCCCTTACGCCAGTCAATAAGAGAGAAGAAAGCAAGTTCTATATCCATCTCCAGCATTGTAAATATAAGCACTGTAGATTTATAGAGCAGTTTGAAGAAAACTAAGTAGTGTGTATTATTGATACAGGCCACTTCCAACACAACTGCATGAACCTGTTTGCTGCAACAGAAGAACAGCTGACTGAGCATCCCAAACCAACATTTGTGAGATTACATGACAACAGGAGTCACATTTGGTTCCAGTCTCATAAGAACTTTCTGCAGCTTTCAGGCACATTTAAGATAAATAAAATCAACTTCAAACTACATTCTACATGTTAAACAACAGTTGCACTTCGCTCAGAACACAGATGTTTCAGCACACAGTTTTTAAAAAGCAGTATTTTCATAATACGAGCTTTTCTCCATGCACACAAACATTTTTACATGCAGTACCACGTGACATATGCTCGTGAAAGATCAAGAGGAAAATATGCTTGTCCAAAACACTTTTTTAGTTTTTTCTTACTTCTCAGTATTAAAAATACCACCTAGCAGTAACTCTGTTGACTATAGGTCTTACAAAAAGAAAATTCCAATGCAATTCCCAGTTCTGCAAACAGGTACATATAAGGGACTGCTTACATAATAATTCATATAAATAGCTTTACAAATTCAAGACTGCCATATCCTTGTGAAGGCACATGTTACTATGAATTCAAACTGCAATTATACAGAGCCAGAACGTGGAACTAAGAACCCAAAACTGTTTAAGAAAGCAAGCCTAGTCAAGCTACTCAAAATTCATGTGCATGTTAAGAGCTTCAGTTAACAGAAAAACTAGACTAGAGGTGAAAAGAAAGTACAGCAGCCTAACTGATTGTTTCAGTTCTGGGTTGCGTGTGAGAAACTAACTACGGCCTAAGCGTTAGCTTCAGATTAAAAAAAAAAGTTAAGCTAGTATTCTAAAAACCTGGACAGCAAAGAGAAAAGCTTATAACAAGATACAGGAGTTCTTCCAAATGGTTCACCAACGGCCAACCTGTTAGTCCCCCGATTCCAGTGACCTATTCTCAGAGCACTGGCTTCTCCTTGGGGATTTTCGATACTTCACTCACTGTTGCCATGACGACAGCTTCATCTTTATGTACCACTCCACATCACCCAGGCTTTGGTAAATGTAGCTGGTCGCTGTATAGTCGGTTGCAAGGGAAAAAAGAGTTGAAGTTAATAACATGTACAGATTATGTAATTGTAATCTTGTAAAAAGTACAGAAAAACGTTTACATCCTGCTTGTTAAAAAAAAAGAAAAAAAAAGGCAAGCCTGAATGTCAGACCAGCATTTTTAAGATTAATTTCATGCAGATTCACTCAGAATCTCAGAGCAACAATACCCATTTCTCCAGAAAATAATGGGTAGAAGTGCACGATTTCTCTCAACATGATGCATTTTAGACACCATGTAACATGCACAAGTGACATTCTGATTTGGAACAGGCTAGCTGGAAAGATTTAAGTTCACAGGTTAAGTTCAGTTTCTCTGATCCTTCACACAGCACAAAGAAACAGCTAATTCATATTCTCATTGAGAAGAAAAGCGTTGCATATGATTAGTTAACCTTCACTGTCCGGAGCAAGGCCAAAACATTAAGAATCACTGAACCAGCCTCAATAATTCCAATAACCAGACTCCCTTATCATAACTGCGGTAAGAAACAATACCACCGAATTCCAATTCAGCGTAACTTCACAAAACTCTCTCAGGGCCATCAGGGATAACAACTTTAAAAAAAAAAAAAAAAAAAAAAAAAAGAACAAAGCTAAGTTCCAAAGTATAACACCAAATCATTCTTCTTTTACCTAAAGCTAACTAGGAAAACACAAGCACAAGGCAGTAAAAGCAAAGTTTTAGATGCAACAGAAGCATAACCAGGATGAACACACCAAGAAACAGCTGGTTTCCCTAAGAGATTTCTACTCTGCTTCTCAGAAAAGGTTACGCAACACTAAAGTTTAAATACCTGCTGTGACCTGGTGATACAGAGCAGAGAAATGAGCATGAATTCAAGAACCTAGCTGAAAACAAAATCCTTTTGCAACTATGGACTTCCTTACACTTTAAGCAATTGGCCACTAGAATTAAAACTACTTCATCACTGCTGATGTCTCCAATCTCACAAACTACAATATTGCTGCATGACAAGCTTAAAGAAATTTTTCATTTAATAGCAACTTAGAAAACTCCTTCCCTTCAGCTATTCCTTGTTCCTTCCAATCAAGTCAATCTGCTTTACACATGAAAACATACATCACTTTACACACAGAAAAGCAGTATTAGGCACTCACAACTGAGAACAGCTCTGCAACTCAAGCAGACAGTTACCCAGATCTGCACACAGATGAGGTAAGCTTACACTCCAACTTCATCGACACAAGCACACCGTACCATAAAAAAACACAAGTCTCACTTTTTTCAATTAAAGATGCCTTCAGCTTCCAAGACTCAATTACACATTCCTTGTTGAAGTGGCGTCATTAAAGCTGCAAACACTGTAGGCCAAACCATACTTTTTTCAGATGCTTTCTAACATTGTTTTTTCTAAAAAGTAGTACTATCATCACTGGGAGAAGTTCAGCTTTCACTGTTAGTTAACTGATACTTTATTGGCACCACAACCACGTTTGGATGGCTACTAACTAACAAAAGGAAAGCATTAAGACTACAGAATGTGGTTAAAAGTCCAGAGAATACACAGCAACCCACTACTAATTAACTACTCATACCTAAGGCTACCTTTCAAGAACTACAAGGAATCAAAAATCAATTAGCAACGGACCTAAAACTAGAACCATGGACCAAAAACTAGAACCAATACTCATGACTTGCAACTATATAAATAATGAAAACCAGCCTACCAAGTAATCAAAGGTAACAGTAGAAGTCAGCATTGAACTGTACTACCTACACAGCAGCCAATGAGCACTCCCTTCTCAATTTTAGGTCGTTGAACTTAGCCTGGAAAAATACTGTGAATTGAAAACTGTAGTGTACATTAGTGACAACAGATGCTTATGTTCATAACGAAGCTAATCTTACCTTTTTGCTCTTAACTGACGCAAATGATGAAACACATTGATCACATCCCTTATACGACGAGGCGCCTCTTCAATTTTGGATGCAAGATTGATGCAGGCCATAGCAACAATCTGAAAGGAAGCCCCGTTTCCATAAGAAAATAATTCTTAATCCCGATAAGATTAGAATTACAGAATTAAAAAAACCCCAGCCACCACCCCCCCTCCCCCCC